AGTCATTAGCCCGAATTCGGTTGTGACGTTGATACCTTGCTCTGTTGATGTTCGTCATGACGGACAAAATCTCAACACCATTCCACCACAACCGAGGAAGACTAATTCGGAAACAGTGTCAACATGAATGTTCCAGTAAAGCCAATCGACAGCTGGTCAAGAGGAATCTGTCGTCGTCTTCTGGTGGAATCGACCTTCGAATCTCTTCAATAAACACTTTCATTCGAAATGGAAGTAGGCCTTGGTGGTCAGAGCCTAACTTTAACCTTTTGATAACTCTGATTTAGGACCGGTATTGTGTATAGACGCTAACACCTACCCACCCACCCACACACACACACACTCAAGCAAAAGTAGCAGGACCAGTATGAAAGATAATTAGCCAAACCACTCTATATCTATTTAGGTTTATTATTTTCTTTTGGCTTAAATGAGTCCATATAAAACGTAAGATAGAGCCGGATAGTCTTCTTGCATTAATGTTAACTTGAGACTTTTACAAAAATGATGATGTCCATCAGTTGATGGACGAAAGCTCAGTCCATTTTCACCTGGGAAGCTGCCTTTGACTGTCTCATGGGCTACTTCAACCCGAACTTCGTTTAAAAGCCAAACGGCTACAGTTCAACGGGATTCAGTCATCCTATTCTGGTGAGATCGAGCTTCGAATCTCTTCTCGATGCACTTTCAAATGAAATGAAGGTCTTATCAACAAAGTTTTTAATTAGTATAAATAATCTCAGAGAACATTTTATAAATAGTATACATTTGACTTCCAACAATCCAAATAGTTAACCTCACTTTGCATCTTCCATTTTGATTAAATTAGTTACTTAGCCCATTTTGATTCTTTTTAATTAGCTTCATTTTAAGAATTTAAATTAATTTTGCATCTATTTTGTAAGTGAACTTCGTCTCCACCTTGCTCATCAAATGGAAACCTCAAAGAATCCTATTGCACCTTGAGGCATTTTACATTACACTTCAAGCATAAGACTATAATTCATGTCCTCTCTGGAAGTTCCCTCTTTCACCTCTTGTCTGTAGTGTCAGTCAACGCAATCTGCTCCCACCATTCTTCTCAAGAATGTCGGATTGTTAGGCATCTTCCTTTGACTACTTTGTGCTACTTTCTTCTCATTCAAGCCGAATAAAACTGCATATTTTCTTCACAAACTCAGCTATGTTCCGGTAAGGTTATCTCGTATAATTGATACAGTTAGCATAACTAGCCTCATTCAACTTGCCTATCACACTGGGCTCACTGTCTAGAAGAATTGCTCGAGGCACATAGTTGTTCTTTGGTGTCACTTGAAAAAAGGACTCCACAGCATTAGTTTGGCTCGGCTCGTCCACGTATTCATCGCACATGCGTCCATCAGGTCGAATGCCATGCTCCATACAGCAGAGCTCCCAGAACGCATTTCCCAGCTGCACACCGCACTGTCCTACAAAAAGATTGACGATTTCACCATCCTGCCAGGACAAATTATGGGTGCAATGTGAAGTCAACCGAATTACGCGTAGGAATAAGTAAACATTAAATACTTATGAAGGTCAAAGATGTTTGTAAGTAATTCGCTATAATGAATAAAGTATTGTCCTTTGTGAAAATGTGATTGCTGGATAGGTTTTTGTACTTGTCTCACTTAAACACGATTTCCGACTGTTTCTGGCATGCCGGGATTCAACCACGTTGGAAAGTTATGAGGACGCAGAGCACTTTGTTTTCGGAAAAAAATGTGCAAATTTAGATGGTCGAGTTGGGGTAAGCTGAATAAGGTACGGATAGCATAAATTGTCATAAGAAAAATAAGAAGAACATAAGATGCCAATGAATTTTGCATAACATCGTACTATAAAACGATATAATCTCCAGTTTAAACAACGCATCTTCCTCTAATCAGTCGTCCCACCAAAATTGGAGACCAGAACTTTAGCGTTAGACCGCAAGATCATCTGCCAGTGAGTGATAGATTGATCTCATCAGAAGAGGGTTTCTGAATCCACTAATTTCGTCTCATGGCAAGTCACATCAGCCCCTGCGCCACCATTATAAGAATGGTACCAAAAGAGGGTCTGGAGGTTGTTGGGGCGCTCAACCTCGTATCGAATCAAACTCATTGTCTTTCCCATCAGTGTCTGTACCACAGAATGCTAATAACGGAGTCGACTAGTTATATATGTATTTGTCACTACAATCAACGACATTACAATATATTGAGATTTTATAATGATGATTTCGATATATATATATATCAAAACATAGAATGTGATATGGAAAATGTCTAACCCTCCTTGAAATTCACATCTGCCCTGTAACCCAAGGGCACTCGTGACAACGTGGCCGAGTGGTTAACGTGTCAAGCTCACATTCTGCACTGTCAAAGTTCGACTCCCGCTGGGGGTGTTGATAAAACCGATGCAGTCCACTCCTGCCAGGATAAGAACAACTTTTGGGAAAGCAAGGCCATGTGAAATTCAATGGAAAACATCAGCTCTACTCTTAACATTGTGGGAAATTGCAACTACCAGTCCTCCATCACCTTAAAAGAAATAGGGTGAGCACAACTCATTATATTTTTCATGTCATGTGCAACTTTGCTCCAAATTTAAAATTGTCTGGATACAAAGCGCTCTGCAATTTAGACATGAACGCCTGAATTAGTCTATACTCAATGCTTCGTATGACATAGAAAACTCATTATTAATAGTGTCATTAGTAATAGTAGCAACAGAAAGTTTGTTGTTTCTCTTATCCATTGCTACAACTACCTAATGAATCGTAATGCTAGTACATACATAGACTTCACAAGTTGGATCGATATACAGGCTTTCAGGTAGGCTAAACACATTAGATTTATTGTAATTTGTTTACCAGTACACAAAGCAGTGGGTGCACGGAAAATTATATAAAAACGAGATAAAGGCTGAGATAATCACTTATAAATTTTTATACCTAATCGGTTGGTCGCTGATGATTTGTTGACGAGATGATATTTTGTCATACGATGATGCATTGATTAAGAGCTATTCTGCCCCCAATGAACTGAATAAATGCATCCGAAAAGGTAGTTTTTAACCATGTTGGACAGCCATTTCGGCTTTATTTCACCTTGTTGCCAGCATTTCGAGTTAGTATTGAAACAATATCGTTACTCCCATGACCA